TCCATCAAATTATGTCATATATCCGTCACACCATTCTGATTGGGTTCCAACCTGTGGGTTGGATTTTCTCAGGCAAAAATATACCTCCTTCAGTTGAACAATGGGCCTTCTTCTTCCCAGGCTATGAAATTCTAAAAGTATCTAATGTAGCAGATGTGGGTAGATAGTGGTGTGTTCTTCATCTAACGTAGGCTAAATAACATCAGGAATATGCACAGTTATAGTTGGCAAGAACAAGCAAGGTCGCAAGCAGTATGATTGCCTGTCAGCATTTAGTATTTTACCCAGAATGCATTTAAGCAATGAACCATAGTGAATATCTGAATATATGTTCATGATTGATTTCAGTTACTGTGATTAGAATCATCAAAGGCACTTAACATATGAACCATGGAAGTGTTAAGTGCACCTACTAAGTTAGACTGACTGTTAGTCAGTGGCAGAGTACAAGGTGTTTCATAAGCGGTGCGTACAACATTATGGGAAGGAAAAAGAAGAATTTGAAATAAAAAACTGTACATCTTCATTCCTCAGAATTAGGTTCTTCTTAGGCAGCTGGGTCATACGTCTGTCCGCCCGTATTGGCTTGAAAGCGTCGGCTATTGTTCGTTACCACAATAAGTGAGTATTAATGGGCTTCCCCAGTGGGGATTATTTGCATCACCCAAGTGAACCTGCCTTATTTTGAGGGAGACCATGGGTCTGTCAAGGTCAGCACTGTCTATTCTGACTGTCCGTGGCTCTCTGGGGTCTCAAGCAGAGGCCTTCCATATTGCCCATTACCTTTTACCTGAAGGTGCTAAAGATGGAACTTTCTGGATCATGTGAGGCAGAAGCTCTACCACTGAGCTGTGGTCTCCTGTACTAGGCTTCACTCTGGCCAAAGTGTGGATCACTTCAGGATCTGAATCGACTGTGAGCATGATCAGTAGTTGTTCCAGAGGAAATGCTAAGCGTGGAGAAGATTCTTATGTTGAGGTGTCATTCTGATCCCCACTGTGGCGGGCAACATAACGAGGGATTCCATGAGGGCAACTGTCTGAGGGTAGACAAAGTAACGAAAGTGTCTCTGGCACCTTAAAGACTGTGTTTATTATGGTATAGTTTTTTCGTACGCCAGAGCCCACTTGGACAAGCAAATGATTTTAAAGTTGACAAATTATGCATAGTTACAAAAAAAGAAGAAGAAGAAAAATTATATATCGTTTCAGAGGGCAGTCATGTTGGTCTGCAGTAAAAGAGCAAGATACAGGTCCAGTAGCACTTTGTGTTGCATTTGTTTTCTTGCCATCAAGTCGCAGCTGACTTATGGCAACCCCCCCCCCCCCCGGGGGGTTTCAGGCCAAAACGGGTTCGGGGGTTTTTG